CCTTGGCTCAATGGTCGATGTTTTGCCCTCGATATTTAGGTATTCAATAACATCGATGATAAATGAAAATATCCAACATCAACAGCAGTAATCTTTAGTTCCATTAAATATAATAGAATTATAAAATTCCACAGAATGGTTACTATGTCAGAAATATGCAAATTGAGATAATGTTATTATAAAGTATTACCTGAAAATTTGGAAAAAAACATTTTAGTTTTATTATAGACTCGTTACTAGGTACGTCATAAATATGCAAATTAAAATAATTTTAGTGTTCAACCAACTTCCCTTTATAGTTTGCTAAAAGATTATTTTTAGGTAGGTATTTCCTAAAATTTTGAAAAACCCTTTAGTCGAAACATATTGTTTAGATTACTATGTATGTTTCTATAGAGTATTTTTATATAATATTAGTACAGTAGTGCATTTTAAACATGTATAGATATTTATATATTTAGATTTGATTATAATTTTACACTATAATTTTATTACTACATTTTGAATTTAACGGCGGTCCGCAAAAAACAAGCTCACGGTCCGCCATTTGGTGACCCCTGTCGTAGATATCTGGGATGAGTGAATTTTTTCCTTGGAGGGAGGGAGAACCGTATAGCTATATTCGAATAAAATTAAGTCATTTAAACAATCAAAAACTAAAGATATAGTATGAGATTATTCTTAGCATTTAAGTGCCCCAAGCGATACATCATCGTGCCCCGTAGGCGGAGTAGATTGGTACAATTATCATTTTTTACCCAGGTTCATATAACAATATTGATGAATGATGGAAGACGAGGTAGACCAAAGTTGAGGTAGATAGACGGGATAACACAGAAAACTGAGAAGATCGGTGTTGCCAACTGGAAAATCCCAGCAAGATATAGAGCAGAATAGCGCAGAAAGCTTGAGAAGGTCGGGGCTCTTTAAGGGCTGTAACACCGTGATTATAACAATATTGATGAATTTGGCTATACACTTAACTTTAATTACAAAATAAAAGCGGAAATCTCAATGGTTGGTTGTATACTATACTTTTAAAAAACTTACAGAGAAGGAAAGAGTTCTGGTGTATATTGGTATATTTTATTGTATTAAAAAATATTTAAAATTTATCCAAAACGAGTTCAAACTTTAAAAAAGGGGTTTTCGGTCCAGTCGGACCATCATCAGTGAAACAATTTAAAAGTATTTGAAACTAACTACTGAAATAGTTTTTAATTAATCATTTTTGTCGATATATCAGTCTGGTCAAAAAAATATCGAATTTTTGCCGTCCAGTTGATACAGATTTTATTTAAAAAATTGATTTCACGTTTGTAACTGACATTTAAAATCGCCGTTCATTTTAAGTGTTGTTTCTGGGAGAACGGTTTGTTTTACACAAAAAGTGCTTGAAGGCGGGGTTGTAGGAGGAAGAGATTGGGTGTGAGTGGCAAACTTTTTTGCATCTTTTTTGGGATCCCAAAATCGACATTCTAAGTAAAATTCAGCTTGTTAATACGATTTTTAGAGGTCAAATATCTGACGACTTGACCAATACCTATTTTGGACTGGCATAAATGCTTAGACGATTGATTTGTTCGAAGGTGTATTAGTCTTAAAGGCTAATCCTTTGGAAAACAATACAGCTAATTTTTCCAAAAAATATGATCCTTCTATTAATTGTGCAAACCTTTTAGTGCATGCCTCGTATATCTCTCCCTTGTAGATATATTGGACTTATTTGCTTCGTATGTAAAGCTTTGTCTGTCATTCAACATTTTCTTTTAGTTCGCATTTTATGACTAAGTTTTTCATTTTTAGTTTCAATTATAAGTTCTTTAATTGCAGTCCATCATTATCATCAGATCTTTTTGTTAAGGATTTGTGTAACTTCTGATTTCCTGATTGTTTATTATAGACATATACAATTTATCAACATTTCCTTTACTTTTCTAATATTATTTAGTTGTTTTACTTATGGATATTATAAGATGGTTGCGATGGGATTAAATCTGCTCCATAATGCCAGGATGAATTTTGTTTAGAGAACTATGTAGTCCAAATAAGGTATTTCCAATACCTAGGTTTTTTTTCTAAAAACACTAGACTTGTTAACTACGAGTAATATCATTGCCCAATTGATCTCGCCATAGAGTACTACTTTTTCGTCAAAGTAGTCACATGTTAGTCGATTCGGTTGTAGTTAGTCTCTATCGGATGTTAGAGTAAGAGCTTTGAAAGTCTTTTCAGCTTTCTTGTTGTTATTAAGCTTCTCAAACTTATGGTGATTGTCGTCGTACCTGCATAAAACATCTGATGGCCCTTATTTGGACATGATCTGAATTTGCCCATCGTAATTCACTAATTACTAAGATTTCGATGTTCAGCATTATCAGTTCTTTTTAGCATGCCAATATCTTGACCCCCTTATGACTCTCCTGGAGATTCTTAAAACCTTCTAACCATCTGAGATTTGCCGGAAAAAAAGTTACTTACAAAACAAACGAAAAATTAAGTTACATAAACAAAATTATGAACCATAAAAACACATACCTACCCTTATAGCTAATACTCAGGTTCTTGTAACCATTCTCTTATAGAACCTTAAATAATTTTCTTTCGATAGCCTGGACCTAATAATGGCAAAACTACTTTCTTTGCTTATTAGATAGCAGTGCCACAGATGGTTAAATCAATACATGATTGCCACTCGTGGCTATCTAAATAAAATTGTTATCGAATTATAGTTCAACAACCTTAATACAATAAATATGTAGCTTCTGTCTTGTTGCATATCCTCAGTTGATCCGAGAGTATTTATTTTGTTTAATATTAACCTTATTTCACTTGTCCTTTATGTCTGTATGAGTTTTCCATTTAGCCATTGAGATGCACCATGTCATGGTGGAGAAATTCCTTGTCCAATTTGTTTTCTGTAAAATACTGAGGAATCTCCAGTCTTTGAGAGTTCCTCTTTTGTTAACATGGGCCTTTTATACGCACATGATAGTTGTGTGTTTAAAAACAACCATCAAGATCATATACTAAAGGCACCAGGATTTTATCCTCACATTGTATGTACAGACCTATATTTCTTCCACATCATTATCCTATATCATTCTCCCAGAATTAGAATTGTCCAAATCAATTAAAATCAAAAAACCAAAGATTAAATTTAGCCATACTTTGCTAATAAAATTACTTTTAAAAAGTGAAAACTAGCAGTTACTGCTCCCCATATATCGAGACCGAAAAAGGGTATAACTGAGCAAACAGGAAATATTTCTGAAATGCTTATCGAGATCTCAAAGAAGCAAGGTCAGAAAATATGATATTGATAAAATATGATATGACATTAAAAAGGTCCAAACTCTCAACTACTTCGTGAGAGGGAACTGATGCAACAAAGAATGTGACATCATATAAACTCAGAAGTACATAAATGTTTGTTAGTGTGTAAAAAGTATGTCACATTTGATGACTTTAACTCTAAGGTGGCTATTTGAGTTATAGTGATGTTAATCTATCAATATTCCTGGAAACGGATTTTAAAAGTGAAAAACTACAACTTTCTATGGCTTTGTAGACTGATAGCTCTAAATATTCTTTCAGTCTTTTAATCATTTTTAACTTATCCTATACTTGGTTGATTACTCTAATTACACTATCTTTAACATTATCTGTTTAGTTCATTTGCCTTTCTTAAGCACATTCTTACCATTTCTTTTTATGATGATATATGAAGCTTAGTACCTTCATAAATACCTGAGATCAGACAATATTTTGTGTCCAAAATTTGCAGAATGTTTAAGTATTTGGTTTTATGCCCATATACTCCAGTAACTTTTCCCATATATGTATATTTGATGATATACATTAGAGAACCTTTTTATCTTGCACTATTTAATACTTTTATAACACTGTCATTTTTTTTAATCCATCTGTTATAAACTTCATACTTTAGCAAGTCGGCTTATTGTACATCTTCTGTTTATCATGATACACATACCAGGATTCTGAAATCCTGTACCAAGTTGTACAGACCTAGAAGATGGGTACCATACATTTTTAGACTCGCTTGGTAGTCTTCAAAAAGTGGTTGCCGCCTGTGATTCGATGCCTCTCAGTTATTCAAGATATGGTTGACTATTTCAGATCTGCTGCTGCCAAACCTGCAGTTTAAGTCTCTATGAAATAGTTCCAATGTATGCAGACCTTGACTAGCACATGTCCAAGAAGGAACCCTGTTATGACTTAAGTTTATTGAGTCTAAGATTTCTGCTTATTTTCCACAGTACTTCAACTCTGTTAGCATATTTCTGTCCAATATATATTTTGCCATGTGCTTGACTGGGTTCCTTCTCCTATCGGAGGTTGGCATCATCACAGCTATCCGTACCTAATTGGCGGCTGCTCTAAAAAGATCTACTGAGCTGCAACTATACCACTCTCTTAGGTTTTTCAGCCAGGAAATTCTTCGTCTTCCTATGGATCTTTTACCCTTGATTTTACCTTGCATTATAAGCCGTAATATCTCATATTTCCCACCTCTGGTACTTAATGTGGCCTAAATATTCCAGCTTTCTTGTTTTGATGTGCTTTATGACCTCGCAATCCATTTGTAGCTGTTGTGATCAGATCTGGGCTTTTTCCTGAACACAACATAGTCAAAACTGTCATATAAAACATAATAACCAGTATAACTAGTAGACTATTGAATATATTTTTGATCAGAGTATTTCATTTATTAACCATTTCGGTACTGCTGGTGCTTATGAGCTTAGAATGAAGACTTTTATAGGTGCTGCCATCAATTGTAAGTATTTTAGTAATATTAATAGTTTGTTTGAGCCAATTTGAATGAGATAATGCTAAGCTTATTTAATTAGAGTCCATCCCATCTGTTAAGTCAAGAAATATTCTTGAGAATAATGAGTTAATTGTTCAGTGTTCCAGCAGAAACAAGCTGATACTTCAAAAAAATGTTATTTTCTATTAACAGAAAACACTAACATAATATTGGACTTACAACTTTATTCGATTTCACTGATGGAAAATAATTACAACTAAAATTGAATTAAATAGTTTTGTACACATCACAGGATGCATGTCATCCATATAACCTAAAACAATTATAACACATTAATACAACTTACTAAAAAATTATACTTAAACAACCATAGATAGCCATCCTAATATTAACAAAGTTCCTCCAATTGGTGCAAGACCTGATAGTTTTTTATCTCCAGTAAAGGCATGATAATACAATGTTCCTGAGAATAATGTTGTGCCTGTTACTATCAATCCTCCAACCTAGAATCATAAATAAATACCATTAAAGCTTTCAAATATAAACAATTTAAAATATTCTATAAAATTAAAATAGTTATTTAAATTTTTCCACTCTAGAAGCTAAGAAAACACAAAAGTATTCTACAAAATTATCAGAATGGGCAAATGAATGCTCCACTGAGCAATAGGAAATGTCTAAATATTTTTAGTTCCAGATTTCTCAAAATATTTCAACACTATAAATCCCACTGTGCCAAGTGCAATATGCAATGGGGAATGTTGCAAGAAACAGTAGATATTTCTAATTAACACAAGTAAAACAACTTACAAGTGACATAAGAAGGTTATACAGAAAATTCAAGTGAATCAAATGAATATGTTTATTGTAAAATATTGCTTTATAAAAATTGTGTATAAATGTATTTTTGTATCATTTCAGCGATCCTTTACTCCTTACAGTTTAAACAACACAATTGAATCAGTGAGTTGAAAAAGGTACACATTCCAAATTGGCTATTTTTTCAGGAACCAAAAATAAAGATGTTTATGTGCAAAACTAAATATGTAACAGAAAATGTTTCAGTTATAAGTTTGACAAATTCATAATTGTAAAGATCATAATTGGTTCCTGCAAAAAACAGCCAATTTGGAATGTGTACATTTTTAACTCACCAATTCAATTATCTTTGTCAATTTATTGTTTGACTCTCATATTTGACCAGTGCACGGGAGTGAATCAGTGAAGTCATTACATATGTAAGATATGAGTAAGAGAGAGACAGAAGATATATTTTCTCTCTCGAGAATAAAAATGTTCGTTTTGTATATATATTTAATATTATATATACCGGGTGGTGAATCGTCAAACGGGCCATAGGAAATTCAATGGGAAATTTTAAATTGTTGAATTGCTGCTTCACTAATTATTTTACACCAAAAGTCATAAAAAACTATTTGTAGAGGACTAAAATCTGAATTAAAAACAAATGTTAAAACCGTTCTACGAATCAAATGTACTTCAAAATTTTGCAAAAATATAATTCATTTTTCAGGCCACCCCTAAAAGTTAGGCCACACGTAGGGCAAGAATATATATTATGATGTGTGCGTTTTATCATATTGATGTCAGATGTTTGACAATTTGAATTGTGAATTTTTTTATTTTATGATTAAATTATAAACAATAAATATTACTTTGTGAACAATAAATTAAATTGTTTACAAATCGATCAATGTAATGAAATGTACTCAGTTAGTGAAAAATAGCATAATGTTGTATTCAGGCAATAGCGCGAGCCTTTTCCTGCCACTACCGGATCTTTATTTAACGTAAGATATTCTAATACAACTTAAATTTAATTCCCTGTTAAGTTAAGTTATACAACAATTCAATGAATTCCAATATACTGTTACTGTGATCTTTATTCCTAAAAATAATTTATGATAATTTCTAAACATAAAACTATAACAAATGTTATAATAAAACATGAATAAAACATTTTTATTATTGCTCTTTTCTCCAAAACTGAGTACACTTTTTAATCAACTTAATTTTTTATTAAACAATAAATAACAAAATTAAAATTTTGGCCATTTAACTCATAGATAAATATAATATAGTTGATTTAAATATTGTCAAATATCAGAAAATTAATATGACAAAATGCGACACGTAATACACATCTTTTCACGGCGTCTGGCGTGACTTTTAGGGGTGGCCTGAAAAATGTGTTATATTTTAGCAAAATTTTGGAGTACGTTTAAATCGTAGAACAATTTTAACAGTTGTTTTCGATATATATTTGAGTCCTCTACAAATAGTTTCGCACAACTTTTGGTGTAAAATAATTAGGGAAGCAGGAATTCAACAATTTAGAATTTTCCATTGAGTTTCCTATGACTCGTTTGACGATTCAACACCATGTATATATATATATATATATATATATATATATATATATATACATGGTGTTATATTTATATAAAGATGCACGTCATCGGCGTCATAGCCTGTGGCGTCACATGATACCAACACAAAATATTTAGGGTGTAGGTGTGTTCTTTTTTAGAGCCACTTTACCGAGTACACTGACATTACAGCCACTAGACATATTTTATTATATACGCGTAGAAATCATATTTAAAAATTTCTATTAATGTTAACTTGAAGAAATACACAATAATATGTTTCATTTAATTTGTATAAATGCATTATAAAGCGTTTTTATCAAGAACATTTGTTCGGAACACACTGTAACTGTAATCGAACGAAGGTAAAATTTTGGCATAAATTGGTAACACTTATTTGACAGTTGCGGTGTTGACACTTTTTGTACTTCATTATTTTGTAAAGTGAATATCTCTTGTTTTATATTTTTAACTATCTAATAAAATCTGTTCTTTTTAGAACAAAATTAGTGTGTTTTATTTCAAAAATGTCACGTAAGAATTTAAATAGTCGTTGTGAAGAGATGGTAATACTTTTGCAATAATTATGTAATTTATTTGATTTAAAATGGAGTCAGGATTTTTTTATACTTTGGCAACTATGTCAACTTCGATCTCTGACGTAGATAATGACGTAAGTTGTTATCTAAATTAAATGAAGTATATATATATATATATATATATATATATATATATACATATATAAACAACAATAAATCACAATATGACCGAAACATATCAATTTTGAAATACGGTAGTGTCATGTCTATTTTAACATGTTTGGTTCATACACTGGTATATACCATTTTTCAAAGTAAAACACTTGCATGTCACGATTTATACAAAGGGACGTCACTTATCTTTCATAGGCGTCAACATGGTGTAATAATCAGAAAAATGTAATCATCATTATATTGGAAATTTTGGAATTATATTGAGTAAAGAACCAAACACATTTGTTATTATTAATAATATAAATTTTATGAAATAACTCTTCAAGTCTAATATTCCACAAAATAATAATTTTAATTAAATAGATTAGACAATTGTACGCAACTGATACCGGAATACTTCAAATTTTTTTGACAGTTCAGCGGGTGGCAAAAGTGTGTAAAATGTTGCAGCTTCTTTAGAGGAAGAATATTGTTAACGTTTTGATTTCTTACATAATTTGATCATAATATAATATATATTAATAAATTGTATTTATAAATATATATTAAATTTAGATTAATAGCTTTAAAAACTAATTATTATTGTGTATTGTGATTGTGCTATGTCAAAACAAATAAATAGTCTGTAGAAAGCTCATAAGCTTTCATATAAGATAGATTATTTTGAATAAGAAATAATGGCGGGACATTGTTACTATAAAAGCTCTAAAAAAGTAAGTTTAAAATTTAGAATATATAATTTTGTATCAAAATGTTTTCTTATGTATTTTAGTGTGTTGCAGTAGTCTTAAAACTAAGTGTATTTACTGTTAGTATAATAGTTTGACAAATAGCCGACATTTTAAAAATTCCTCACTTACTAACTATTCTGATGTTTTGGCAATGCTGTGGAGTTCTGACGTTGTAAATCTTGAATGAGTGAAAGCATTTTTATGTGAAAAATGCTATATGTGAGTTCAAATCCCAATATGAATGTCCTTTTTTATTTTTGAAATATTTAAAAACCCCACGTTAATCTTATTAAATATATGTAATATATGTGCTAAATTTTAAAACAAAATTTATATTATATTTAATATTTATTAATATTATTATTTTTTTTATTAATATTATTATCATGATAAATTAAACCTATGCGTAAGTAAGTTATGTATATTGTCATTTTTAAATACTTATGAATATTGCATTTTAATTTGTCTTGTATTATTATATTGAATTATGTTGCAACATATTGTATTGTATTTTTATATTAATAACAAAATAAACAATGAGTTTTATTGAAGAGTATGTATAAAAAAAATTTTGCATTTTACTCATTTTATACATATATGAAAATAAAAATATATATTTTTATTAAAATATTGATTCAATCCTTCATTTACTATACTTCTATTACAAGTCAAATGTTTATATAGGTACAGCAAATGATGCACCGTTTACCTATATACCTAATTATTTTTCTCTTTCTGCTCTCTCTTACCTATAGCATTTACATATGTAATGATTGTGCAGATGGACTCCCATATAAATTTGTAATGGCGAATGCCAGAAGCCAGTATAGAAGTATAACTTCACTGTATAACTGGAAAAGACTGCCAGTATAGAAGTATTACTTCTACAAGACTGCCACACCCATTTTTTAGTCTGTTTCATTGAATTTTTATTATATTTTCTAAAGTATTTGACCACAGTTTAAAAATTAGTTAAACGAAAATAGTAGAAAATAGTATTCAAAATAAATGTTTTATGTTCACCATATAAAACATGTAATCAGGCATACCTATATTATAGGAATGAATTGTTTTATTAGAATAGATAATAATATTTATATTTAGATTTTAAAAGTTGGCATAATTAACATTACAAAGCAAAATACTTACCACCATTGGATATCTGCACATGGGAACTCCCAAAATGGCTACACTGTGGATAAAATGAATTTTGTTTGCAGTCTCAAAAATTTTTTTTAGTTCATCAGCCTGATCTTTAGTATATGCCCTATGGGCTCCATAAGCATTTAATGCTACAGCAGAGGCCCCCATAACTCCAGCGATTTTGATAAAAGGACCATGTTCTGCAGCCAACTTCCATAAAGGAGTCTTCTCTGTGATAATGGTAACTGAAGGGGGAGTGGAAGCAGTTGAAAAATTTTTACCCTGAAATAACTCAGAATTATTGAGTAAATAGAAGGGTATAATATCAAACATAGACAATCAATATTTACAAGAAAAAAGTGTCATAGATAAAATAGGCAAATATGATTTTAATTATTAAGAATAAACGACAGAAGCTATGTCATTTTTATTGAATTTTTGCACATTTAATGTTTTGTAATTACAATATTCAATTAAAATATTATAATACACCATAATATTTACCTGTATTTTCAAGCAAAAATCCAAAAATAAAATTTTAAAAGGGAACTTATATTTGATTTTAAACTTACCGACAAAAATGACATCGTAGTTTTAGAAATTGGATTATCGTAAACAATATAATTTAGCATATCGTTGAACCCCATTATGCTTAGCTGCCACAAATATAAATAAATGAAAAAGATTCTATTGTATTTTAAATATTTGTAAAATCCGGTCAATAATATAGTGTCACACTGAATTTAGTAAATGTCATAAATCACAACAGGAGCTTCATTATGTTGCCTTTTCAACCACTATGTCATGATCACTATTTTAAATTTTAGTTTTCTAGATTTAAACCAATATGATTTTTTTCTGGAGTTATTTAATATAAATTATTAATTTTTTTAATAAATAAATGCCATAGATTTATTAAATATACGAGTTAATTAATTTATAGTTCTAATAACAAAAAGAAGATAATTGAGAATTTACATATCTGTCGCTGTCATTACTGTCAACATAACCATAACCTAACATAATAATAAACAAAAATAATTTAAATAAATGTTTCTAACAAAATAAAAGTTTAAATTAACAGATAGGTGCTAACATAATTTATAAGCAATATGTCTTTATGTGGAATTTGTGGGTCAGAACACGTCCCAGCAGACTGCGATTTAATACAAGTTACTTCTCATGTAAGTACAAGTTTATGGTATTGAAAACTAAAATTATCTTAATAAACCAATGGATACCATGTATTTTAATATGTTTGTGTTGCGTTTGGAGATAGCGTTATTTCTTCTCTATATTTAATTCACTAGTAAAATTCATTCTGTCATAGCATTATCTAATATTTTTTAGATTCTTGATAGAAGCATTCCTTCCAGAGCAAGACTGACCATGCCAGAATCTCTAGAATTAAAAAATATGGCAGATGGTACTTATGATGTTGCTGCATTGTATCCTTTTGAAAAGGGAACACAATTTGGGCCTTTGGTTTCTAAAAAACTGTGTTCCCTACTCCCTGCTATTAATTTCCCATTGAGGGTATTTTGTGAAAGTGGATCAGAGGATCAAACCTTTTCAGAGTATTATTTGGATACTACTAATGAAGATGAATGCAATTGGATGATGTTTGTAAATGCAGCAGCTGATTTTAAAGAGCAAAATGTTATTTGCTATCAGGTAAGTTTGATGATTGTTGTAAGTTATTTGAAAAGAAAGTATAGAAACTTTAGCAAATAAGTAATGAGTACTTTCTCAAAATAATTGTAATCTACCAACTTTTTTAAATTATTTCGTGTGATCTCAGGAATAAACTACAAAAACACCATGAAAAATTTAAGTAAATGAAAGCATTCCTGAAATGTACTACCAGGTCTACTTTTATGGGGCAAAAAGTCTTGCAGTATTTCCCATTTATTTTTTCTCATGGTCCCAATCAGTAATTTTATCTACCAATAATTCTTTCACTAGTGTATAAATTTAATACCAGTTATCATCACACATCAAGTTCTTAAAAAAAAAGGTGAACAATTGCAATAGATGTATGTGGCATGTTGTATGGACCTTTGGATTACATACCTTTATAAACTTGAAAATTTGACACATCAATTCTTTTTTTATCACATACTATAAAAAGTTTTAATCCATACTGCTCTAGTTTGTTAGAACATATTGAAGAAATCAGTAGCATCATTGAAAATGTATAAACATATCAGTTTATAGAAATTTGGCCACAGAGTAGTTGTTCTTGCAATTATCTACAATTCTCTACAAAATGTACTTATGGCCCATCTTATTGCAGCATCTGTTACTATCAACAAGTCCTTGTAGACACTTTGTCTGAGGACCAAAAAACCTCATGTAGAGTTGTATGTTGCCATGTTACCAATTGCACTGGTAACTTAAACATCTTAACTTTTAAGAACATAATGTAACAGAAATTTAAACTAACAACATTTAACAGGTTTTTACCCAAATATTTTAGTGGCTCAAAATGTATACTTAGTTACACTGTTGATGGAATATAGATTCCGAAAACGTTTTGTAATTGTGATATAGCCTGGTTGGGTATTTTATGTATGGGTATGTTGGGTATTTTAGGTATTTAATCTTTTATAAAGGATTTTAAATAAAAAAAATTTTATATAGAATCACTTCTAAAAGAGAACTTATTAGCTCCAACTTCTCAACACATCTGTACATACTGACCTAAAATCATATTTCAAACAAAAACTTACTGACATATATCAATAAACTTGGCGGTACCAAGAAATATCAACATCCTTAGAAGCTGTAAATAAAAAGCAGAAAAGAATAAGTGACTCACTTTTCTCCGCATCAGTCATATGCGATCTATCCATGACTATTTACTTTAATGTAAAAATAAACCTATAGGCAGATGTGTAATAGTGAATTAACGGTAAATAATATGTTACTACCGTGCCACAATAAGCCAACACCTGACAAAAACAACAGAGACTTTTTTGAATTGGGGTGTTAGGAAACATAGGAAACAGGATCTTGTTGTGGCAAAATAGTTGATATTATATTTTTACTCACATTAACGAAGTATTCATTTAGATTTTCAGGGTTTGGAAGGGAAAATGTTTGAGCTCTGTTAGTTTTATTTCAAAGATCGTTTATTATGGACCAAGTTTCTCTAACAACTTGTGAGATAAATGTACTATGTTAGATAGTACATTTTTAACTGTTTCGATAATTTTTAAATATGTCCCTCTGTAAGTACTTGGAGATATATTCAGTGACAAAAATGTTGGTAGTAAATTTCTTGATGTACAGTAGTGAAAGCATATTCTTGGCTGATATGCAGATCCCTAGGGTCTAGGGTTTGTGATGTTTTGACTTAATTGTAATTAAAGGAAATGCCTGATTGAAAATACAGACAAGTCTATCTAAAAAATCACTGAAATTATGGTCCATGTCCACCACATGGGGGAAAGTGCCACCCAGAAGTCAAGCACAAATTTTGGAATTTACGAAAGTTCTGAGTGGAAAAAATCCTACCTAAACGTTGGGTTTTTGAGGATGGATTGTGGAGAGTATTAAACTTGGTATATACTGTTTCATGATCAGATAGTCCTGCATTAATAATTATAAAGCGTACATCAAGGGGTGAGAAATCTGAGACAATATAATCAATTATGGTAGATGTTGTTTTAGTAATTCTTGTAGGAGAATAAACGCGCATTGTGAAACCATACGATTCGAATATATTGACCAAGATAATTGGGTAGCACAAGAAATAGCGTAATTAATATTCAAGTCACCGCATAGAATTTTTCTGCTTTTATTGGGCAGGTCATCTAACAAATTTAACAAATTCTGAAAAAAATAGTTCCGTGGAAGAACCAGGTGATCTATAAGTGCAAAGAATGTATAGATTAAGATTCTTGTCATAAACCAATGAAAACTCAAAAAAGGATAGATTGAACAGAGAGTCATATTTTGTTATAGGAGAGAAATCATGATTTGTAGAAGGAATTAGGGTGCCACTATGAGCAGAACTTGAACGATCCCACCTAGCAATTGTGGTATATTTTTCTACAAAAAAAGGTTCGTTGACTTCAAGCCAGTGCTCGGCAACCGTAACTATCGGGGGAAAACTGTTTTATATTTTATAGAATGAATATTAATGTCAACCCCCTCTGTGGCTCAGTGGTAAGAGCGCCTGCCTTTAAAGGTCGTGAGTTCGAATCTCACCTTCGTTTATATAAAAAAAAATTAATAAATGAAAATAATTTCTATCCTTGTGTGATCGGTACTCACCGGAGGGACCGCAGACGTTCGGATACAATTAGCAAAACACACACACAAAAGAAAATATTAATGACACCTATGCTAAAGTTGTCATCATTAAAATAATTTGAGGTTTCTAGTCACACAGAATATGTCGCAACATCTATTGCAACAGTTTTTCGGGACTTCCAATATTTACGGCGCTTTCTATACTCTAAAACTTTCTGGATGCTTTTAATTCTCTTTAACGCATTTTTAAGGTTTGTTCAATACTATTAGCTGTTTACAACTCATTTTCTACACTTTCTCATTTTCTCAACGCTGGTACTCCGATGATGATGATGATTATTAACACTTTTTCGATGCTTTTAACTATTTACAATCCTTTTTCAATGGGTTTACCATTGTCTTGAGTCTTGAGACTGGAGTTTCAACCTTTTTCAATTGCTTTGATTCTGAATGTTTGTTTCATGCTGTTAACGCTTTCTAGACGTTCTTAATGAGTTTAAATACTGCCTTTTCAATGCTGCCAATGCTTATTAACACTTGTTCGATGCTTTTTATAACACCTTCTATGCAATTAATTCCTTGTGGACGATTTTAATGGTTTTTAACACTCTAAATTTTAGTTTAAGGATGTTTTAATATTATATTAACGGTTTATAACGCATTTTCTACGCTGTTAACCGTATTTTAAGGTCTGACTGTACGTTTTCGAAGCTATAACACATTTACAGTATATGAATACTTTATAAGGCTTTTTCAACACATCATGTATGACGTTTTCTCTAGCTTTTATATATGTCCTCTACGATTTTATCACTTCAACGCATTAAATGCTTATTAACACTTTTACCATGCTTTCAACTTTTTACAATTCTTTTTCTATGTTCTTAATATTTCCACGACGCTTTTAACGTGTTTTTCGAAAGGTTTTTAATGCTTTTTAACAATTTTTCAAAGATTTCAATTTTTTAAAACGCTTAGTATGTTCATTCTGGAGGCTTTTAATGTTTTTTCAATGCCTTTAAGGCTTGTTCGATACAGTTTATAACATTTTTTCAGTGGCATTTAAAAGGGAAATTCCCAGTGGTTTCCAGACGTTTTCCATTTTTTCGGTGCTTTTGATGTGCTTTTTTAATCATTTTAACATTTTTTACGAAAGTACTAAGAACATACAAAAAGTTTGTTCATAAACAGAAATTTTTGTGAAATGTGAAATGAATCTATTACAAGTGTGTGATGATGCTCTTGTGTGGAAATAATGGAAGAAAACTACGGAGGTAAAGTTAATTTTTTTATGAGCAAAGAATTTATAAAGAAAATGATAGGGCCATCAAGGAATTTTAAAGATTCTTGTAGGAATAAAGACAAACTAATCTTGAAAATACGGCACATAAACTAAAAAAATGAAAACAGAGTATTTCGAACTTTTTAATTGTTGAGGAAGAAAATCCATTGAGGATTTAAAAAACTATAAGTTGTTAAATTGTGACAACTATTAAGAGACAAACACGAAAAAGGAGAATTAATTGAGAAGAAAAATGACCAGGATATATAAATTCCTTTCATGAAAATATTAAAGTTAGGAATATATCAAGTAAAAATTTCTTATAAATTATATGGAAGTTTATCGAATATACAAATAAAACACAAATTAATAAAAGAATAATAATTTATTAATATCTACAGTTAACAATAAAAAAAGTAAAGTAATTGCTAATACAGTCTTGTAAAAATTAATCAAATATCACAATATGGGAACTTGAAAACTGATTAGAAAAATTTAATCGACTTCTTCTACTGTGGGACCACTTTGTCTTCCACCAAATCCTCCGTATTGTTGTCCACAACCACCTGGCATTCCACCACTTTGCTGATTGTTATTTTGACTTCCTTGGTACAATTTGGTCATGATAGGACTGCATACTCTTGTCAATTCTTTCTGTTTGTCTTCGTATTCTTCTTTGTCAGCTAAAGTGTTGCTATCTAACCATTTAAGGCAACTCTCGCATTCTCTCTCGATTGCTGACTTGTCTTCAGATGATAATTTGTCTCCACAGTCCTGTACTGCTTGTTTTAGTTGGAAGACATACCCTTCAAGTTGGTTTCTTGCTGCTATTTTTTCTTTCTGTCGTTCATCCTCTTCTTTATATTTTTCAGCTTCTGATAACATCCGGTCAATTTCTTGTTGTGACAGTCGCCCTTTGTCATTCTTTATGGTGATGTTGCGGGTATTACCAGAACTGGTATCTTTGGCGGAAACGTTGAGTATACCATTGGCATCCAGGTCGAAAGTAACTTCAATCTTTGGAACTCCACGAGGCGCAGGAGGAATGCCAGTTAGATCAAATGTTCCCAGACGATTATTATCTTTTGTCATAGCTCTTTCACCTTCAAATACTTGAATAGTAACAGCTGGC